CCACCCAAATCCCCCCAGACCTGCTCCAGGGACATGGGGTGCCGGATGAAGAGGTTCCCCTGGAATTCCAGCCCCAAATTCCTGGAATTCCAGCCCCAAATCCCCCTGAATCCCCCCCAAATCCCCCCAGACCTGCTCCAGGGACACGGGGTGCCGGATGAAGAGGTTCCCCTGGATGTCGGGCGCCGGCAGCCGCTCCAGCTCCGTGTGGAACTCGGCCACGCGGTTCTGGGACAGCAGGAACAGCAGGTTCAGCCCCAGCAGCTGGTGCCGCGACGCCGACTCCGGCAGCTCCTCCCTGCGGACGTTCCGGAACGTTCCGGGCGCTGCCGGCACCGGAAGGGGGGGTTTGGTGACCCCTCGGGACCCCCCCCCTCAAACTCACTTGTAGTCGAAGTAGTAACATTTGAGTTGTGCCATGTAACGCTCGAAGGATGGGATGTCCTTCCTCAGGATGCTCCACTGGGCCCCAATCTCCAGGATATCCCCTGGAAAAACGGGAATTCCGGCTGGGAACGGGGTCAGGAGGGGTTTGGGGGGGATTTGGTTGGGATTTGGGGGGGTTTGGGGTGATTTGAGGGGGTTTGGATGGGTTTTGGGGGGATTTGGTTGGGATTTGGGGGAGATGTCCTTCCTCAGGATGCTCCACTGGGCCCCAATCTCCAGGATATCCCCTGGAAAAACGGGAATTCCGGCTGGGAACGGGGTCAGGAGGGGTTTGGGGGGGATTTGGGGGAATTTGGGGGGATTTGGATGGGATTTGGGGAGGTTTGGGTTGGATTTTGGGAGGTTTGGGTCGGATTTGGGGAGGTTTGGGTGGGATTTGGGGAGGTTTGGGTTGGATTTGGGGAGGTTTGGGTCGGATTTGGGGAGGTTTGGGTTGGATTTGGGGAGGTTTGGGTTGGATTTGGGGAGGTTTGGGTTGGATTTTGGGAGGTTTGGGTTGGATTTGGGGAGGTTTAGGTTGGATTTGGGGAGGTTTGGGTTGGATTTGGGGAGGTTTGGGTCGGATTTGGGGAGGTTTAGGTTGGATTTGGGGAGGTTCAGGTGAAATTTTAGCTGAATTCTGCGGGAATTCGGAACCGTTCCGTGACCATTCGACGCCCCGCTCCGCTCCGCCCACCCCAAATTCCCCGGAGTTCCCTCGGGAATTCCGGGAATTGGGATCCTGGGGGGATTTTGGGGTGATTTTGGGGGGATTTTGGGACATTTTGGGCACTCACGGGCCAGGATCAGCTGCTGCTTGGTCATGGAGGAGCCGGAGGTCGGGAGGAAATTCAGGTCCAGGAGCGCGACCTGGGGGGGATTTGGGGGGTCCCGGAGGAATTTGGGGGATCCCTGGGGGGGTCGTCTCGGTGTCCCCCCAGTCCCGTCTCACCCAGCTAATTAATGGCTCGGGGTTAATTAATAGCCGGGCGTTAATTGGTGTTTACGGCTTAGGCAGGAAATGACAGAAGGAGGGGGTTGGGACACCCCAAAAATCCCGGGAATCCCCAAAATCCGGGATCCCCCCCCCAGCGCAGACCCTTCCCCTTCAGGGATGAGCCCCCTCCTCACCCCAGAGCCGCACGTGGGACCCCAAATTCTGCCTTAATTCCCCCAAAACCAGGGGTCCCCTCAGCCCCAGCGCCCCCCAGACCCCCCAAATCCCCCCTCAGACCCCTCAAATCCTCCCCCAGATCCCCCAAGTCCCCCCTCAGACCCCCCAAATCCCCCCTTAAATCCCCCTCAAATCCTCCCTGACCCCCAAAATCCTCCCTCAGACCCCCCAAATCCCCCCTCAGCCTCCCTCAGCCCCCGGTTCCGCCGCTCTCACCTTCAGCCTGCCCAGGGCCTCCCCGCACTTGGCCAGGTTGGGGCTCTTGCGGCCCCACTCGCCCTTGAGCTGCTCGTAGAGCCCGGCCGCGGCTCTCAGGCCGCCCCCGGTCCCCGCCGGGGCCCCCAGGCCCAACCCCGGGCCCGTCCCGGCCGCGGCCCCGGCCCCGTTCGGCACCGCCATGACTGCGCGCCAACGCGACACTGCCGCCAAACCGCGCGCGCTTTGCGGCCGTCGCCGGGGCAACGCGGAGTGCGCCTTACGGCACCGCCGCGCC